TCGTGTTTCCGGTTGCCTTGGAGACAGCTGGCAGAGCGCCAGCGGGAAGCCGAAGTTGACCTGACGGAGACAGACAGACAAATACACGGATGGATAGGGACACCGACATGCAGATGTGAAGTTGACCTGTATTTATTTAGTAATATTATTATATTAATGATACATTTTTCATTCTACCTTTCCCAGTAAAACCACCTCTCATCATAGAGTAACGGGAGTGATGGGGTGTCCTCAGTTGACCTCCCATTTCACGTACTCCTTCACCCTTTTGGCCTTTTTCAGTGTCGTCATGTCTCTATGGCGACGTCACGCTCATCCTCGCAACGATACTTCGGACAAATTAGTTTTTTAATGTAATGAGTAATGAGTAATTTATTAGTATACTAAATACTTAGTAGCACATAAAAAACCTTTTATGGTGTGTGCTCCGTGGACTACATTAAATAAACGTCGTAATAGAGCACACAGTATTTGTTGCCTCCTCCATTAGGTCATTTGACATTTGGGAATGAATCAGCTGGAGCTGCACTGGAGGGTAAACGTCTTATTTCCATTATCGCAGCACTCTGCTCTCATGAACTCTCTTCATGGAGACCGGACTCGACCGGCCTCTCCAATATCATATGAGGTGAGACTACTGATATGCCTCCTAATATCGTTTATATAGACATACATTCCATTCACAGCCTGTCAGGTGTTTGATGAGACAGAGAGGACGCGTCATCTTCAGACCTCGAGGGCCCGAACCAATATAGATATGTATACAAATGTTTGACGGTTTCTCTTGATCATACCAGCGTGCAGCAGGAAGAGGGGCGGCTGTGGAGTGGAGAAGGCGTGTCGGTAACCACATTGCTCCGAGTAACTTCCCCACGGGGATTAATGAAGGATACCTTCTTCTTAGCAAGGAGCTCGTAGTGGAGCCGCTGCTCCTTTGCATAGAAAGGAACCGGTTGAGCTGGTTTTTGGGCGTCTGGTGGCGGTGCCCCCCTGGGGGCCTTGCAAGGGAGCAGTTCCAGGTACGGCCCGGGGACGACCCAGGACTATGGAGGGACTGGCCTGGGAACGCCTTGGTCATTTTGCCTCTTTGTAGCTGCTTTTTTGTCTCTTTATTGTTCTTTTGTGTGTATTTTTGGTTGTAATGAGACTTAAGTGATCCTCTGGCCGTGTCTCTCTTTTTGTTCATTCATATATCAGCTGATCCTGAACACGACTGACACAAGCGCCTGCGTCCAACAAAGAGACGCCCGTGTGTCCCGCTCTTAGTGATAACCGCTCAACCGGCCGCAGCTCTGCTGGTGTTTGGACAAGATAAGGAACCAAAAGAGCTTGATATCGGTTACCGAGAAAAACTGAAGGACAGATAATTCTCACCAAAGCGCAGAACCACAGTGAAGAACATCTGCTGATGGTGCACCTCTTCCTTTGAGTTTTATCTTGAGACAATTACATTATCTGGTGTTTTCTTTTCCCGCGTCAGTATATTTTCGCATCAGTAAGCTGTGTTGTTTGTAACGGAAGGAGAGCATCTCTTCTTGATGTTCAGAGCTTCATAAGGTTAAGAAGTTCACCCATTACTGACACCAAGCTAGAGTGGCACACGGAGCCACAATGAAGCCGCGTGTTGAGAGGATCTTAATTGCCTGTAATGATGTACTTTCCTATTGAACCAGGATATTGTGGTGGGGCGTAATGCGTGTTAAATGAGGTCTGACCAACAAGATGGGAAGCTTGCTCTTAATTTCTACTATGTGTTACCACATAGTACTTATACAAGTCCCTGGAAGTGTGGAAAGAAAGTCACTCTATCGGTGATCATCATATTTCTGCCAACTAAAAATATCTAACTGTGATTCTGCTTCTGTCGGTGTGATGCTGCCTCCAAGTGGTCAGGAAGGGTACTGCATGTACAGCGCTTTGTAATATATCACAAAAGAGAATATCGGTCTAATTTCATTAAGGTTGAAACCATCACAGCCTTAAAACCATGCGCACTGACACACTTTTAGATCTTATAATATTCCTTTGTATTCCCGCTGATTTACTGTGATTTACTGATTACTTTCACTCGTTTTATTTCATTATTAAGCATAAGCATTAAAGCTACTATTATTTATTAGGACCTTAACCCGAGGGGCTAAAATAGCTTACTGTACATTATGCTTCTATGTGCATAATGAATGTCCTAGATAACCACCAGAGGGAGCCAGACACCAAACTAAATACTCCTAAACAGCAGCGTGTACGAGTGTTTCTCCTGTACAGTGGTCCTTTAGGATTATTTATTACAAGCAATATACTTTATTTACACTCACTTTCAGAAGATTTTGAGCCTCTTTTGTTGTGGCTCTGTGTCAGTCTGTTTTTTTGGGCCTTATTGTAGTTCATTTGTGTCTGTGGTAGATCTGTGCAGTTGGTCTCGTCCCTTTTTGTAGTTCTTTTGTATGTCTGACACTTTTGGCTCCCGGCCCTTTGCCCTGTCGGCCTACTCGGTGATCCATCCATTCTAAATCCATCTAAATGTTTACAGTAAACACACACACACACACACAACTGGCATGCACAAACACACACACTCTTACTGCCCATCCCTGATCCATTAGTCCCAAGCAAACACATCCAGCAGTCCACATATGGATTGACGCCAACATACACGCGTGTGTGCGATTATGAATCACTGCCCTCTCACTGTTTGAAGCCTCCATCCATCAACGCTGTTTTCTGTTTTTAAGAATTGACACAATCATGTTTTTGATAGAATACTGATCATTTATTATTTAACTGGTTTGTGATTTTTTTTCTTTCTTTTTTGTGATATTCTTGTATATCTTTAAAGTGAATAAACAAGTATCAATCAGTGTTCATTATAACAGACCCCCCCCCCTCCTCCCCTGCGGTTGTAAACCTTGGGAAAACACAGTCAGTGCACTACAATTAAATCATTTACTAAGTGTTGCTTGCTGTTTCCTCCTCTGATATTTTGTATCAGTGTAGGTCAGATACCTCAGACATTGACTAAATGAATTGAGAATAACGCATCTCGCTGAAGATTGCACAATGTTATTCATCCATAGCAAGGAGCCTCGGTTCTCTGGTGGCCCCTCGGGGGGCCACGCTGTGCTCACCCTCCAATGGAGCTGTAGTGTAGCTGCACACACCCACCACCACCCGATCAACTGCAGTGCCGCGGCCGTGCGCAGCTTTCTGTGGGCGGTGGGTAGCGTTAGTTATCGGATTGATGGAAGAGAAGCATAACGGAGACGACACCAGCAGACAAACTCCTGCAGCTTTTGTCGAGTGTCTTTTGTTGGGCCAGTTTGACATTTCTGATCCACGTACAGAGACGTCACCTGCTGCTAATCCCCGTTTCAAGACGGACTTGAGAGCCTTTCGCCCAACGTGCATTTAATTCATAAGCTCCTTTTCCGCGTGGAGATAATGACGGATTAGTTCGCTCTCTTACTGAGGACTCATTATGCTGCAGTTTGACCTGCGATAAGCTCCAGATGTAGGTGCACAGAACTGTTTCACCTGGAATATGCCGTTTGTTATGGCGGTGCCATGTGCCACAAAAAATTAAGCTCATCTAAAGATTTTCACTTATTGATGAGAGGAAGCAATTTTTTTTCTTTAAAAAAATGATTTTCATTTAAGAGAGATCCTGAGACATTTCAATCAGAGTCTGATGTCTAATTTTATCCACACACATTCTCCTCATGTCCAAATAGTCTTGTTTACACTCTTTACCTTTCTGATAATGCCATTCAACTAAGCTGTAGAGCTTGTGATGTTTGGCCTAAAGATTTGTTCAATGTGTAAAAAAAAGAGAGGTATCATCGTCCTCAGGGAGGCAGGAATACAGCAAATATGTCACAAATATGCCTCTTTTTTTGGGGGGGGGGGCTTCAAACTATAGTGACTACTAGTGGTACAGCGACATCCTCTCCTCTTTGTTATTGTCCTCCTGTGGGAGGGACCTCCCTTTTCCAAGTAGCCAATTACGGTCCTCTCTCATGCCAGACGGCCAATAGCAGGCCTGCTCGGCTGTCACATGCCGCTGTGTCACAATCCAATCCCCTTTCCCTTGTTGTTAATATTCAAAGGCTGCAGTCCACCGACATGAGCTCATAACCACACACACACACACACACACACACACACAAGACGCTACACACACGCAGCGATACACACCGACTGAAGCTGTAAATGTGTAATTCTAATGTAAATGGCATCGAGGAAAACATTACGGGTCTTCTAAGAACAACTTGATATTTCTAAGTCTTTACTGGTTTTAGTTCACAGGGCTTTGATACATTTAAATGTGGAGATAAAATCGTCTTCGTCCCCTCAGGCAAATCCCCCCCCCCCCCCCCGAATTTCTCCGCTTCTCATTAATTTTAAGCCGATGCTTCTCAAAAGCAGCTAATTGCACAGAAATCTTACTGCCGTCCCCTCAAGGAGGGATTCTCTCAAATTGTGTATTTCATTTTATTATGAATAATGCATTGAGGTGTTAATAATTGATCTGTAAGCTCGCTGCATTTCCCTCGTTTACTTCTGAAACTTCAGTGGAAAACGTAAAGGGACGCTTCACCCCCAAAAATGACGTTGTATGACATTTTGTTTTCTTGTGTCGGCTATTTCATGTTTATTCCAGCCAAAGGTTTCGCTGTACAAGGTGCCGACGGTCGGTTGAACCTTTTGGGTTTGCAGTAATTCATTGTTTCAAATTCTTTTGTTTTACATTTAGCCCGGATGAGAGATCCAGCTCTTGCTTTGGGTGGAACAGTTCAAGACAGACAAGAGCCTGAGTGGAAGTTTCATAACAGGAGCATCATGGCTGCACTGTGTGTGTGTGTGTGTGTGTGTGTGTGTGTGTGTGTGTACTGTAAGTACCCGTGTGGAGTATCATCCTCCCTTTCTCCCTCTTTATCTCTCAACCAGCTGGTACTAAGCAGAGGTATTCATCCATCCCCTCCTGCCTCTCTGTCCCAGCTGCTCTCCCTACCTCTCTCTGCCTCCTCCTTTCTCACCCTTCCCTCCTCCTCCTCCTCTTCCCTGTCTCAACCTCTTCTCCATCGTCATTTCCATCATATGTCCCGGCGTGGCGTTGCGGACCGAGCGTGCACACAGAGAGGATGGCTCAGTGCTCAGGTGCAGGCAGAGGGCTGTGGGAACCAGTCTAGCAGGCAGCTGGACCAGTCCAGTTACCAGGGCGACGCTCTGCTGGGTTAAGGGGCTGGAGCTTGAGCACCTTCTTGGAACCCTCGTTGCCTTTGAGAACGTTCTTTTTTTTTTTTTGTTCTTAACCACAGGGACCTGGGAGCGTGGAGCGTATACATATTTTATATTTGCTATAACCGCCACTTGTTTTGCACTTTGCGCCCTGAGAGGTGGAAGCGGCTGGTGGGAGTAACTCCTGCCTCTGCCCTGCTTCCAACCGGACCCTGATTTTGCATCTGCCCCGTGCGGCCGAGGGAGATGGGGAACAAAAGACTGAAGGGAAATCTGGAAAACCGTTTCCCCTTCACACACCTGTGAGGGCGTCCGTCTCTGACAAAAGCCCGGCCGGGGACACGGGAGGGACGGAAAGATCATTTGGAGCTGAGGAGGCGTAAGTCTAAGAGAGCAGACTTTTGTCTCCTGTCCCTCACGCCCCTCGGCATTCCCACCTGTGAGGATTAATCAGACCGGAGCAGCATGGCGCACGCCGCCTCGCAGCTGAAGAAAAAGGCGGATGAGAACCTCAACGCGGTGGAGGATGAGAAGGAGAAGAAGAAGGCGGCGAGGAAGCGTTCCAGAGAATTGAAGAAAAAGGTAGAGGAGGAAAGAAAATGGAGAGATAAAAGAAAAGTAATGGGTGTGGGGGGGTCGGGGGGTTCGGAGGGGGGGGGGGGGGGGTGCTTGAGACGTGTCGGTCTAGTGGAGTCTCTTTTGTCATGATGCAGCCTCCACGCGCACACACACACACACACACATTCATGCAGATACACGCCCTGTGTGATAAGTCATGGGGTCCCTTTGGGAATACTGGGAGGGGGGTCAGTGAAAGATGGATGAGTAGAGCTCACGGACCGGGAAAGAAAAGATAAGACGAGAGGATTAAGCTATTGAGGGCAGATTGGTATTTTAGGCAGCGGCGCTGCTATTAATATGTAACAGAAAATATTTTCCTCTAAGTGAGACTTTATCGTTCTTATAAATCCTCTTTGTCATACACACTTTCAATTTGTTTTCCATTAAAATCTCCTTGGTTTACCCCACTTTGATAGTAAAACATGATGTGTTTGTGTGTGTGTGTTTGTCCTCAGTCACCCTGCCACGTAAACTTTATTTTCTACGGAAATATTTAAGTCTTTAAGATGTCGCATCCGTTTCATCTCCTCCTGCTGATTCATAATAACTATTATTATTTTCATGTGCGATGTAGGAGCCCAAAAAAAGAAGAACGTCAGCGGCAGTCACACCCTGCGGCCAGCGGTGTGTCTGCGTGTGTGTGTGTGTGTGTGTGTGTGTGCGCCACATGCGTCATTGTGCAAAAACAGAGTAAAGACACACACACGGGAATCCCAGATGATCAATTGGTCTGACTTGTAATCAATAATCACTCTTACTCTGCTCGCGTCAATGTCGAAGTTCGTTGTTTGAATAACTTTGTCGACCTGCGTGTGTTTATCCCACTTACTGGGATTGGGCCTGTGGTCGAAAATAATTTGCCTGAGTGTGTACATGCTGACATTTGAGCTTGTGCGCGTGTCTGTGTGTGCGTGCGTGTGTGTGCGTGCTGACTGGCCCGAGGCCAGTATTTGTCTGTGGGTTATTCACCTGTCAAAAAGAGTCAATACCAGTGACCTCATTACCATCAAGGTCAACATGGGCCCCGAGAAGTCACTTCCTGTGGTCACAGGAAGTCAGGGACGTAGCAGTTATGGTAATAATTTACCATTTTGACCCTTATCGGTCACAGGTCTCTCGATTTTGTCACTAAGTTTGTGTCCGGCCGTCTTTCTAATGGGCAAAAGTTGAGTTGAGTCAAGAGTCCAAACCGAACACGGACGCTTCACGTTTTCACGTCGGCTAAAGGTCGCCACTAGAGGCCACTAAACCCTACAAACAAAAACATACTGCGTCTGTAAAAACTAATTTTACTCGCTTGTGTGAGTCCTTCAATTGAACTATGAAATCGATTTGCCTTCAGCAATCTCCTGTGATGTCCCACTCAGCTACCGATAGATCCTTTCCTTATATTTCACTGTGGATTTCCTCGAAAAACAATAATGAATTTGTAAGTCCTCCCACTCGTGTTTCCACCAGCGTAGTAAATTACATTACACAGAAACTTTGACACCGGTATTGATTTTGAAAAGCATCAGGACGGATCGATTCTCCGCAGCATGTCGGATGGGTAATAGATCCTCTGCATGCGACGTCCTTCCATCAAACGCTGACAAATTCAAGGCGGAACTTTGTGACCTCTTTGACTTTGAGGGAAAAGAAAAGCATTCGACCACAAATGGAGGATGCGGATTTGACCTCGAGGCTGAAACTTGAGGCTTTGTGATCGGAGAAAGCAACAGGTGAGGGAAACGTGTTGCTGTAGTAGCGCGTGTGCGTCTTAACAGTATCGGCTGTCGCTCACGGTGAATCTGAGACACTCTCCGGCATCACGAGAAATCAAGAAATATCACATCAATTAGATTTCCTTTATTTTATCTTTCCCCACAAAAAAACAAGCAAAAGCTCTCTAATTAAGCTAAATTGAGTTCACCTTAATGGATACTAACATTACATTCAGCACTACATGGAATTCTATACAATCACAACCATTGCAATTAGAATTATTTGAGCATGTATGTCTTTAATAAGTCTTTAATGTTGATTGCACATTTGAGAATTCATCATTTTAAACCCTGTAAAAAAACAACGTTTGTATTTGTGCAAAAAGCCGTCTGTGTAGAGGCGCCAAATCTAAACTATATTCAACCCGAAAAATGCTTTTTGTCCACTTATTTTTATTTTGAATACATTGTTGTATTTTTCAATGTTCAGCAACAAAACTTTCAGGTGCACATTTTTTTTCAAATGATCAAAACCTTTGACCTGGATTTGACTCCATAAAGAGGAGTGTGATATTTCTCTCAGCAGGGAACGGAAGTTGGCTGTAGGACTTAGAAGTGGCAATTCTTGAAGATGTTCACTTTAAGGAACGTTTGAGTCGCTATTCTTCGCTGACAAAGGCAACACAATGGTGGTTAAGCTGTTGTGTTTTACTTTTTCTCCACACACAAATGGGGAAACTAGGCTCCGTGTTTGAATACTCGAAGCTCGTACACCAACCATGAAAATGAATGAAGATCATATCTAGTAGTAAAAGATTAGATATGTGATTTCGTTGGCTCGGGGGCGTAGACTTCCAAAAAAGTGGTGACTTGGATTTCTATTATTCTGAAACGAAAGTAGAATTGGTGAGGGCGGATGGAAGCGCTGCTTCTTCTGAGGTTTATTTTTGGGAAGGACTCGATTCTGGCTTGTTGTTTCATTATCCATCTGCAGCTTCCACTCTGCTCCCCCACCCTATCTCTCTTTATCTGTCGCTCGCTTGATGCCTCCCCCCCCTCCCTCGCTACTTCTCCGTCAGCTGGCAGGAGGTTGTATTGTTCAGCCACACTTCTGCTCCTGGGACGGAAGGGAGGGGGGAGCAGGGTACAACACACACACACACACACACACACGCACGCGCACACACACACACAGGTCCCTTGTGACCAGGCATTGTACCACTTTAATCCCTGGACACTTATTAAAGCCAAGATTCATATTTGCGGCCCGCTCCTTGTTGCTGCTCTACATCTCTTTGTTCCCTTTGCTTCACCAGATCTGCTGCCCAGTTCAATGTTTCACATGTTTTATTTATTATTAGACTAATTAGACTAAATTTGAATAATAAACTTGCACAATACTAATAAGACAATATCGTCTTTTTTCCTTTTTTTTTAACTTCGAAAATATAAACACCTCAATAAACTATATATTTTGGGAGGTTTTATTAGATTTAACAAACCAAATAATTGATTTTTGGAGAAAATTGCATGGCGGATTGATTGATGATGTAAATAATGACCACGTTGTCCCCAAGAGCTTCTAATTGTGCAGCAGTAACACAGAAAAGGTCATAGGTTATAAACAATGTGCATAGAAAGGATAGAAAATTGTTGCAATAATTCAAATGTTTGTATGAGAAATAGCAGGGGGGTCGATGCTTGGTGTCGAGTGCAGTTGATTCCGCCAGGTCTTTTTGTTTGACTGCCACACAATTATTCTGGGAAAAAAAGATAATTTCAACAAAATGTTGTTCAAGCGCTGTCAAACCTTCCCCTTCATCGTCCCCACTCTGGAAATACCCATCACCCCGGGACGAGCCGCAGGAACTTATTTCTGTTATGAGTAATAAAGAAAATGCGCAATGAGTCATATTCCGTTTACAAAAAGGCAGGAACACGTGAAACTCCTCCTCCCAGAGCGCCACATGCCGACAATCTGACAGCAGTCACCTGACCGAAGGGAGAGCGGCGTCTGAATTATAGAACGACTCCATGGCGGAGCAGCGAGGAGAATGTGGAAGGAGGAAGAGGAGGAGGAGGAGGAGACGCGTGGAGAGGTGCTGCATGGGGAAGGCAGCCGTGTTTTTTAATGCCACCCTCGCGGCTCCAGACCTCAACGCTGGCTGTGAAGGGGGTTGCTGGGCCAGTCGATTGGTGCAGAGTCAGCCGAGCACCGCGATTGGTGGGATGGGGGACTACGAGGAGGGAGGGGGGGGGACACAACACTGCAAAAAAGAGACCGTGGCGGGCGAGGGAGATGAAATGAAATGTAAACTAAGGGGAATTAGAGAGGGGGAGAGGGGGAGATGGGGAGCGAGCGATTGATGAAGAGGAGGATTTGGACGACGAGGAGCCGAGAGAAGACGAGGACGTTGTTCGTCAACCCGTTTACCCTCTTTTCTGCTCCTCTGCCTCCACGCAGCTCTCCTCCTCTCTGAAGTTGGAGATGGCAAAGAGGAACTGGGCCATTCCACTCATTTACCCCCCCCCCCACCCCCTTCCACCCTCCCACACACACACACACACACGCACACTTGAAGCCATCTTCATTTCGCCGAACACAACACTGTTGTTTCTTTCCTGTTTCTCGGGCAGATTAGCGTTTTATGCTCGTTTGGTGTTTAGAAGCAACGATCCCACTGAAACGAGACACCTCGTGAGAAAAGAGAAAAATGTGAGGGGCGGGGGGGGCAGGAATGGGGGGATGTTTCAGACCCCCATGTGTGTCTGAGTGGGTGGGAGCCACACAGTCACGACAGAGACAGAAAGTGAGTCTGTGTTTTTGTGTAAGACAGTTTATAGAGCAACTGTATTCTCAGTAGAGGACATTTTGAAGGTGAGCAGCAGGGAGGAGACACGCCTGAACCAGACAGTCGGACAGAGACAGACAGAGACGGTGAGACAGTCACTGGAACATCTTACACACTCACTCAAGAGAGGCGGCTGACCTCGTCTCGGTCATTGAGAAAGGTACGCTTGATTTTAAACATCAGACAACCAAAATAAAACAACTCTAACAAATTATTTTACAATGACAGTAGCTAGAAAAGTTCAATCACAAATAAAAATATCTAAACTGTTCACACAATACAAACAGTTCCTTTTTAAATGAGGTGTTCTTTGAGGCCCCGGGAGTTCTGGTCTCTCTTCTCGCTCTACCCCGGAGAAGAGGAATGATAAAGTGACCGCAGCGCTGTGCGGCTACGAGGCCCGACT